TGCCCTAATTTTTCAGTTTTCCACCATATGAATAGGGTTAAACAGCCTATGTGGAACCACATACAGGCAGGTACCTTTGTCCTTCATTTACATGAGTTTTTGATGCAGAGTACAGTATTGCATTGCTGGACCAAAGACATTAAAAGGCCAATGAACTGATAAATGTTGGACTTTGCTTAAGGTAAAACTTTCAATGTAAGACTTGAGGTAAAATTTTTCATCACGAGGGGGCTAGCCATTTGGTAGGCATGGTTAACCCCCGCAAAATTTTCCAGGATGGCAACATGCCATTCACTGTAATACTAAGGATGATATCACCACTTACATAGGAATGATTCATAATTGCCATGCAACAAAATAACAGTTTGGTCTGACTGACGGAGTATTTCACTTCATGCCACTTTATGAATAAATTGTCAATTCCGTGCACTAAAGGTTGGCCACCAGTAATATGTGAAATATTTGTTCAGTCAAACCAACATCAGCTAAATCTTTCAGTGTCTAATGAAATGATGGCTCTCAAAACTGAAAACTAAATGCCAGAACCTATCAGACCAGCTTCTCTGGCCTCCTTTATTTTTTTCTTTAGGATAGCAACATTATCAACAGATGGCACAGAATCCCCAAAATACAATTAATATAGAACTATAAATTGGAAGTGAAATCCTCAGAGAGATGAGATTGGCCAAAGTGGGTCGTTTTCAGGCTTTGTCCCCTGGTGTTAATACCTTGTGTATTACACAAGTTGCTTGGTAGAATCCAATATATAGCTAAGGCTGCAAACAGTTTGAATTTTTGCCATTGTGTGATACTCATGATGTATGCCTGTTTTAAAACAAACAAACAAACAAAAACAAAAAAACAAACAAACAAAAAAGCCTAAGCAAAAAAAGCTGAATTTTGAAACCTGCACATGGTTCTCTTAGAGAGCTAGTCCTGCTGCTCAGAAAAAATAAAGCAACAAAAATAAAACAAAACATAAATAATAAAACTGAACAAGTTGAGCAAAAAGTCATACATCTCTTCTGGGTGCACTATAAGATATGCATTTGCTTCAAGTTGATTTGTCCCCCCCTCCCCCCTTTAAAATAGTGTTAATAGGACAAAACATTTGCAAAAATTTTTTTTAAATATCCAAAATCTAAAGAATTTTAAAAAGTCACATTGCTCTGTTATACTAAGAACAGACAGTCCCAAAGCTCAAGGCTGATTCGATTCAATCTTCACAGGTTAATCTAAGCTGTGTAGACTGAACTGATGAGCAAGTAAACATTCACTTTTGATTCTGTAAAGGCCTGCAGTAGCCCAGGCCAGAATCTGGTGAGAGGGGAAGGTGGGGTGCTAGAGCATGCCTCCCTGCTCATTTGGAGCAGACAGTTTAGGCCAAGGGTAGCCCGCCCACCCTGTAAGGGGAGCAGTCTGTGGGGGAGGTGCAAAACATCCTCGGTTGCTGGGGGACTGTGGCTAAGTCCAAGGCAGAATCGGTTCAATCTTCCCAGGGTTTTCTAATCTGCATAACTTGAACCTGAAACTAAACTGAGGTTCTAACTTGAAACTAAACTGAGGGTCAGTGTTTGGGTGGCTAAGATAGGCAGAAACCTGCATTGGTCAGGCCAGGAGCCTGGGGACACTCAAGTGCACCACCCTTCATAGCCAGCTGGCTAAGACTGCCAAGCACAGCCCAGTGGTAGCCCAGGCCTGATTGGCTGCTGGACACATGCCACCTCCCCCTTTTGTAGCTGACTGGGAGGGGACACCCAGCAGAAAATCTCTCCCTAGCTCCTGCCTCTGACACAGGGGTGGGGAGGAGGACCACACCACCTGGCCCTGCCTCCCCCTGCTAGGGCCAGCCTCGCATGGGCAAAGCCCTGACTGGGGGCCTTTTTACCCTCCCCCCCACAGCCTGGCTAGGAGGGCTCAGCCCCACTCCCTCCACAGTCCCATGCCTGTGAGAGGTGGCGGGTAGAAATGCACACAGCCAGGGTTTGCCCAGAGTTAGCAAAAGAGCCCAACTGGGGGTTTGGACTATGATCAGCTCAGGCCTGCCCCCCTCCCTAGCACCTGTTCATGGGAGGCAGGGGCTGGGGGGCAAACGCTAAAACCAGCTACGCACTGCCCCTTTCCCCCCACCCCCATCTGGGGACTGAGGAGCATGGAAGGGAGAAAGCCCCCACCAGGGGCTTTTCACTGCCTTGCAGGCCAGCTTGCAGACTGGTATCCGTTCAGCCCTGCTCCCTCCCCAGCCCACCACTTCTGAGAGGGGAGGTCAGTGTGGGGGGAATGCATCAGCTTGGCCCAGACCAGACCCCCAAGCCAGGATCTGCCTGGTGTGGGGGGAGGGGGGAGGGTGAAGCCCCACACTGTAGGCTTTTCACTCCCCTGCAGGCCAGCTTGCTGGTTCGGGATCAACTGAGCCTTAGCCCCTCCTCAGCCCTCACCTGTGACAGGCGCGGGGCAGAGAGGTGAGTGCAGTGGCCCAGGTGGACACTGCCCTCCCTCCCCCAGCTGTGATCTGCTTGGTGTGAGGAGGGTGGGGGTAAAACCCCACCAGGGGTTTCTTTGCACCCCTGTAGCCCAGCTCACCAGGCTGGAAGCGGTTTAGCCCTGCCCCCTCCCCAACCCTCCTGCTTGTGAGAGACTGGGGGCAGGGAGGGGAACACACTGGCCCAACCTGGCAACCCTAGCTGGGGTCCGCCAGGCATGAGGTGATGAAAGACCACACTGGGGGTTTTTGTAACCCCTCAGCTTGGCAATCCTAGCCTGGCTTGCCTTGACCTTGCCCCCTCCCCAGAAGGGGTGAAGCCAGTGCCCCCCCACTTTTCACAGGCTGGAGAGGGGGTGAGGCTGAGCTGATGCTGTCTCCGCTTACTTGGCTGCTGTGGGGGTGAAAAGTCCTGATTTCAAGGGCTTTCCTTCCCATTGTCCTGTACTGACAGAGACTGGGGGGGTCTAGGGGTCCATTCCCTTGCCATCCTCCCCTCCCCACCACAATTCCTCTAGGCTGACGTGCTGGAGCAGGGGCTTTAGTGCCTTAGCTCTGTGATAGCTGGGGGAGAGGAGCCAGCCCTGCTCCTCTGGAGCAGGCAGCACAGCCCAGGGCTGCAAAGCATTTTGGTATGCTGGGGTAGGGGCTATGAGTTGACTTGAACTGGGAAGGGATCTGGGACAGAAGTTCCATAAACCGGTTTGACCTAAATCAGGTAAGTGTGATGCTACGTCCAACCAGGTTTATCTTAAACAGGTTTTGGCCATTTTGAAAGGTGATTATGTGCACTGAACATCTGTTCTGCTATAGTTTTAAACCAGCTTTGGATACATTATACCAGTTTAGATGTAATTTTTGTCCCTAGCCTTAATGTTCAGGTATGTTAGTATGATTTGTAAGTTTTCTTTTTTTGTTCTCTGTAAAAATTTACCTTTTTCATATTTATTCATACCATAAAATCTGTTAGAGTGCAAAATCATTCCAAAGACCAGTGCATTTAAAATGTGGTAGAATCTATCTGTGGAAAGACCCTTAGAATGCATGGGGTAAGAAAATATCCCATAACATGCCTTGCCTAAGCCAGGGATTGTAAATGCTCATAAAAGAATGAATGGCACTGACTGAGCAGGAGATTGTGGCCAAACATCTAGTTTGCATTTGCAGTTGGTCTCTTCACTTTGTGGAGTGGAATCTGGCACCAGCACTACCAGTGCTGTGTGTCTTTGTCCCTCAGGACATTGGGTTTTGTTAGCACAGAAGGGAATAACTTCTCTCTCCAGGATTTCACTATAGATTCAAATTGAGGATATTCCATTGCTTAAATCTTTAAAAAATGCCGAAGTGAGCTTATCACCTGTTTTCAATAATGACTAAGTTTTGAGGAGGGCAAGTTGTCTCTCTTAGTCAGCAAAACTCAAGGAGAATTTTTAAGTCAGCTTTGAAAAATCTTTCTTAATTTTTTATTTCTCGGAGTGTTTTGGAAAGTCACCCCATTTAGCTGTGCAATAACTAGTTTTTGAATGCTTCATATTACACTGATAATAGTGCATTCGTAGAAGGTTTTTGCATTTCAGTGTGAAGAATTCTATATGCCAAATTTTCCAAAATATCTAAGTGATTTAGGAGTCTACATTGCAGTAAATTTCAGTAGTAACTTAGATGTTTTATAATTTATGTATTGATTATTCTTGTATCCGCACACTTGTCAAGTCAATAACTTCAGGATATTTATAACTGCTTACCTTTTGTCTACAAGTAAAATTCATCTAGGATCAAAATTAAAGTAAAATATAAGAATCTATTTGACTTGTAAAAGTGCCAAATAAAATGGGGCATTTGGAGAAAAAGAACCTGTTTCATGAGCTGGCAATTGGATTCTATTTCCTTTTCAAAGATTTCACAAGAGATTGTCTATTAAGTACAAAAATTTTTGGTCTTTAGGCTCATGGAGTCATTAGAAGTTGAAGGCATGGGGCCCAAGGACCATACACTCGCATGAAATATATTTAAAATGTGACAAACCTAAAATCAGCATATTCCCAAACTGAAGTGAATGATCAATCAAATCTGAAGGTCTGTGTGAAGTAAACTAGGTTATTCCTGTGGTTTCTAGACCTTTTGGAATTAAACATACCTAGCAACTCTGGCAATGGCCACCTTAGAATAACTTTAGCTAGATAGAATAAACTACAGGCAGTTTCATCCCTGTATCAATAAAAGGCAGCCCTGGGATGATCATGGACATTTAAAAAAAAAATCTTTATTCTTGCTGGAACCTTGTTTACCCAGTGCTTCAAACCAGATACCTGAAATAAACACAAGATTGCCTGATGGAGACTGAAATTGAAAACAGCTGTGTGCATGATGTGCCTACAATATTTGCACTAAAGTACCCTAGCAAGCTAGGGAGAAAAGTAACTTGCTATGAAGAAAATATGTTGGCATAAATAAAAGTATTTTCACATTAGTATAATTTTTTTTTAAATACAGTTTCAGCCTTGTTTTAATTTTGCAGAATTCAAGCTAAAACACGAGAATTTCGAGAGAGACAAGCTCGTGAACGTGACTATGCTGAGATCCAAGAGTTTAACCGGACTTTTAGCTGTGATGCTGATCCAATGTATGCTGGAATTGCTTCTTATGACTCTTCTACAAATAGTGGTACAATGACTTTGAATACCAGACCACAGAGCCCTAGGGAAGGACAGACTGTTGAAGCGTTGTACGCCCAAGTGAAAAAACCACGAAATTCAAAATCTTCACCTATAGACAGGTAGGCACCAGACATAAATCAATACTCTGTTTCAAATTCAGTCTCATAATGTTTTTGCCATGGGTGATGTCTGTTCATCCGTTGTAAAGCCAGAGCTGCATTTTATTAATGGCTTTTAAAAAGCCTTCACATAGAAGAATATTGAGTTTGCACGAGTCAAGTCATAATGGAACGAGAGCACAAACTTTTCAAATGAGTCTAACGTATTTCATCTCATTCTTAAAATGTTTTTGGATCCAAGGTTAGTATCAATTTAAATTAAAGTCAAACTTGTAACAGTCACTGGTTGTGGCTTTTGCTAATATGCTTGGAAGCCAGCAACAGTTGTGAATTCTGTTTGGAGCAATTAGAGCTGTGCAAAACTCTTGTAATGAAACTAAGGCTTACCTGGATTACTGTTTTCAGTAAAAATCTAAACCTCTGACCTGCTTGTGAATCTTTTGAGAAAGCATGGCTGAGAAGTGAACTCCAAATGGGATTTTCCTAGATTCCCTTTTTATAGGTTAGGTAGAATGATTTCATAGACATTAGGGCTGGAAGGGACCTCGGAAGATCTTAGAGTCCAGCCTCCTGCCCCAGGGGCAGGAAGTCAGCAGAGGTCATAGGATCCCAGCAAGATAAACATCCAAATGAAGGCATTCAAAGTAGGTGCTTGAACCACCCCCAGTGGCAGTCTATTCCAGACCTTGGGGGCTCGGACAGTAAAGAAGTTCTTCCTTATGTCCAGCCTGAAACGGTCATAGAGGAGTTTGTGACCATTCAATCTTGTCATCCCTTGGGCCACTCTGGTGAACAGATATTCCCCCAGATCCTGGTGAGCACCCCTTATAAACTCATAGGCGGCCACCAGATCACCCCTGAGCCTGTGCTTTTCCAAGCTGAAGAGTCCCATAGCCTGGAAAAGCGCATGGATTTATAGTATTTTTATTTTAATCTTTTTATGTAAAATGTGTCAGGTTTTTTCATAGTTTACTCTCAAAATAGGGAAAACTCTTTTATTTTGGTTCAGCATTCACAGCAAAAGCTAAAATGTAAACCACAAACTAGGACTGATGTAACTTGGCATGGGAGTCCATGGGAGTTGAAACTGGAAAGGTTCACACAGCTTTGGCTGCTGTATAACTAAGAATCACAACTCCGTTGGCTTATAATTCTGATTTGATATCTGCATTTTCTAAATTTTGCCAAATATACTTTTACATTCCAAATATAAAAAAAAAATTGGTAACTGAATCGAGACTACTTTTATATTCAAGGGTTACATTTTAGCTCATAGGTGAAGTGCAACTGTTTCTTTTTTTCCCCCTTTCCCTTCAGAAGATAAACACTGCACTTACCTCAGTGAAACCATTCCTCCTGGTTATGGTATTTGAAATACGTAACCTATGTCGGAATAAGTCTCTATGAACTTGCATATTTAATTTTAAAATCATCAGACATTGGTGCTGGTAGTGATGTAGCACCTGACCTCAAGGGAATGTACCTATCACCTATAATATAGCTGAGCTCCCAGAATTATTTTTAATTGAGCAATGGAAACTGTTACAAATAGCCCTCAGGTGGGAAACATTTTAAAGAAGAGGCTTTGAGCGTGGAGGAAATCTGTATTTTGTTACAGAAAATATGCCATCAGATACTGCAGGTACACTTTGCCAAACATTTTTGCAAACATTCAGTAACGCATGGATGCCTTTTCCTTTTTTGAGCATTCTGTTTTTCTAGGTTGCTTAGAAAATATGCTTTATGTAAGGCCGTATTTTGTTCATAAAATAAACACTTTTAGATTAAATGTTTTGATTTCAGGAACAAAATGCTTTTAAGTAGATTATTCCACTCTTAGTATTAGAAGTTTTATATAATGTTCCTTTTATTTATCCTTGTATCGATCAACTTGTATACTTGGTACCAGAAATCACATCACTTTCAATGACCTTGAAAATCAAGATAGTCTGGTAGGATTGTATGGTTGCCATACTGAGAGTCTTATAACTGTTTTTGTTAGAACAAAGGTAGTGTTTCATGCCTGAGCTGAATGGCATCAATGTCATATCAACAAAAAGATTTTTCTTTGATGGAAACCTGGCATGGAGAAATGCAAGACCTGCCTGACCTAGCTAACTGTGTGATTGCTGATAAAAGAGCAAGGGGAGAAAAAGCAAAAGCAAAATTGTGTCTGGAGTACTGATGGACTGTGATAATCAAGAGGGCAGAGCTGAAGAGCCAACATTGTACTTTTTGCACCTTCATACAGTGCTGCTAGTTGCAAATTCCAGAAAGTACAATAGGATCATGCTGTGAAAAAAGGGAGAGATCCAATACACATATCAAATTGGAATAAAGTTTAGAAAAAGCAATCCAAGAGCTGGAGCTGGTAGAACAACAGCCACATGGGCAGAGTGCTTTGGGAAGCAGGGGCATGAAGGAGTGGAAATGAACTCTAGACAAATTAAACAATTCAAATGAAAATGGATATTTAGATATTATCCATGGCTACTGACAGACATGAAAAAAAAACTAAACAAAAACCACTTTATTTTCAGCTTCGTGCACCCCTAGACCACGCACAGCGCATGCCCAGAAGAGGCATCACATTAGTTTGACCTGGCTTGCCCAACGTCTGTATAGATTGGGCACTTCAGCAGGGCTTTTTGACTCTTTTATCTAATAGCTGATTGAATCAGCTGTTAGGTGAAAACACCAAAAAGCCCTGCTGAATCTTCTGACCTGTATAGGTGCTGGGGACACGTGTTGAATGAATGAATTTCTTATTTCAGTAAAGCACTGGTTATTTTGTTTGTTTGTTTACTTTGTTTTTCATGTCTGTTAACGGCCATGTGACTAAAGGTCCCAAGGAACCCTTATAAGCCCTTCTGACATACTACTTGTATAGTGTATGCATCCTAGCCATAACATAGCTTTTTACTCTGTCTTCCCAAATAGCTTCTTAGTAGAGTCTCTAAGGCTAGGGACAGACATTACACATTAAACTCATTTAAGTGATCAGCAACTGGTTTAAACCTGTAACA